TCAGTAAAACCTACCGATGACAGTAAGTATTGATTCTTATCAAGGTGTAATTTCCAGAGCAGTGGTGGCTCAGTGAGTTAGAAGCTTGCTCGCTAACCTGAAAGTCCAGGGTTCAATCCCAGCATAGGTTGAGATAATACCTTCAGATTTTCCACCCGGTTTCACCCTGTCAGTGATGTAGGTAAGAGAGACTGACACTGACAAAGTGTTTAGTCGTTTAGATGGGACAATAAACCAAGGCTCTGTGTGCTTCAGACTGTACACGTTAAAGATCCCTCGACAGTTGGAAATAGAAAAAGAGCAGGTTAACTGTCCTGACAAAATTTCCCTCATTGTACACTGCATGGCATTGATTATTCTTATTTTCTATATTTACTAGGTATTGTAAAAGTATATTGTGCTGATCATACGTACAGCTCGTTTCGATTTCCGATGAATACCTCCGTAGCTGAAATAGTTCATCATGCTAAAGATAAATTATCTCTAGGGGACGATTTGATTTTATGTGAGGTCAAATCTAACGGAGGTAAGGTTGTTATTTTATATACAGAGGCAGTTTTTGTGAATCATTAGGGTTCGTTCATTCTTCAGGCAGAGCAGGGAGTCCTGATATCAATCGTCAAGGTTTCCCCTGTCAGTGATGTAGGTAAGAGTGGCTGACATGGAAAAAGCATCTAGTCGTTCAGATTGGACAATAAACCGAGGCCCTGTGTGCTACAGACTGTATGTTAAAAATCCCTCGACAGTTGGAAATTGAAAAAAAGCAGGTTTGTGCCGCAGTGCTGGAAAATTTCCCTCGTTGTACACTGCATGGCGTTGTCTGTCTTCATTATTGATGACTTAAAGAGTAGGCGCTTGTCTGCTGATTACATAGTGTGAAACTCAGAGTAACAACATGTTTCAGGTTCTGTTTTAATATTTCTATTTGTAGTGTGAAACCCTGAGTAACAACATGTTTCAGGTTCTGTTTTAGTTGTCTGAAGATCACACAGTGTGAAACTCTTAGTAACAACATGTTTCAGGTTCTGTTTTAGTTGTCTGAAGATCACACAGTGTGAAACTCAGAGTAACAACATGTTTCAGGTTCTGTTTTAGTTGTCTGAAGATCACACAGTGTGAAACTCAGAGTAACAACATGTTTCAGGTTCTGTTTCAGTTGTCTGAAGATCGCATAGCGTGAAACTCAGAGCAACAACATGTTTCAGGTTCTGTTTTAATTGTCTGAAGATCACACAGTGTGAAACTCTGAGTAACAACATGTTTCAGGTTCTGTTTTAGTTGTCTGCTGATTACATAGTGTGAAACTCTGAGTAACAACATGTTTCAGTTCTGTTTTAATATTTCTATTTGTAGTGTGAAACCCTGAGTAACAACATGTTTCAGGTTCTGTTTTAATATTTCTATTTGTAGTGTGAAACTCTGAGTAACAACATGTGTCAGGTTCTGTTTTAATATTTCTATTTGTAGTGTGAAACTCTGAGTAACAACATGTTTCAGGTTCTGTTTTAATATTTCTATTTGTAGAGCGAAACCCTGAGTAACAACATGTTTCATGTTCTGTTTTAATATTTCTATTTGTAGCATGAAACTCTGAGTAACAACATGTTTCAGGTTCTGGTATAATCTCTATTTGTAGAGTGAAACTCTGAGTAACAACATGTTTCAGGTTCTGTTTTAATATTTCTATTTGTAGTGTGAAACCCTGAGTAACAACATGTTTCAGGTTCTGTTTTAGTTGTCTGAAGATCACATAGTGTGAAACTCTGAGTAACAACATGTTTCAGGTTCTGGTTTAATATTTTATATTGTAGATCGTATGGTATTTAAAGATAATAATTTATGTGTTACAACTGGATTGAGTTTAAATGGAAGATTATTTATAACCCCGAGAGAACATATAGACGCTTTGGTACGTTTTTAAAATTTTACAGAAAAATCCAACACAAATTAGTTCCCAACCGATCGATGAGAAAGCTATGGAACTGGTGCTCAGCAATCTTTTTGCCGTCGAAATCTCCAAAGCCAAGCGAAGTTGAGACATACCTCCTTTTTTATGACTTAAACTTTGTCGCCGACATCAAAATTCCTACTGTAGCAAAATTTTTTTTTTTCTCTGGCACTTCTCGAGGAAGAGTTATACAAAAATGGTGGACTTTTTGTCTAAATCACCTTGCTGGTAGCCGGGAGAAATTTCATCATGTGTAAGGCGAAATTGACACATACCTACTTTTTTGGACAAATGGACCAAGCGATTGGGAGAAGGGGATGATTAGGGTGTCTGTCTGACATACACTCCTCCTGTGGCAGAAATTGGAAAAAAAATTTGGCCAGACCTAGGGATATTTCAGTTAAATTCACCATGCCAAGGAAAAATTCTCTTATGTGAATTTTTAGAGGGTTTACCTGTAATAAAATGTTGCTTTTGTTTTTCAGACGCCTTTACAAGAGCAAGATGGGCCGTCAGAATCTACAGCAAACTCTATTGAGCTCATGAGCACAAAAGAATTGGCCTATCAAATAACCTTATACGATTGGGAACTGTTCAATGCCTTGCATGAGGTATCCTCAATTTTTTATTATGTTCCTTTAGCACTCTCGGAAGCACTGGCACAGTCAATCAGAATTTTTTTTAACTTATTGCCTAGCAGACGACAATCTAACTCGCTACTGACTGAGCTATTCAACTGCAACATATAGGTATTAGGGGGTGAAAGCGAAGACCAGACTGACTCTCAGAAGCACTGGCACAGGCATCAGAATTTTTCTTACATTGAGGAGGATTTAAACCCAAAACACTTATTGCCTAGCAGACGACAATCTAATTCGCTACTGACTGAGCTATTCAACTGCAACACTTAGGTATTAGGGAGTGAAAGCGAACACCAGACTGACTCTCAGAAGCACTGGCACAGGCATCAGAATTTTTCTAACCTTCTAACCCAAAACACTTATTGCCTAGGAGACGACAATCTAATTCGCTACTGACTGAGCTATTCAACTGCAACATACAGGTATTAGGGGGTAAGTGCGAACAACAGAGAGACTCTCGAAATTTTTCTTACCTGGAGAAGGATTCGAACTCATGGCACCCAATCCCCTAGCAAACGACAATCTAACACACTATGGACTGAGCTATTCCACATTATGTTATTTTACAGTTGAAATTTTTAAAATTTCAGTTTGAATTGATCTACCTGGTATTTGGTCGTCATAGATTTAATAAAATAACGGCCAATCTAGATCTGTTTTTACGACGGTTTAATGAAATACAGTATTGGGTTGCCACGGAAATGGTTTTATGTTCGAACGTCAGCAAACGAGTTCAGTTATTAAAGAAGTTTATTAAGTTAGCTGCAATGTAAGTACTCTATATTTGCAGTGGCAGTAATTTTTGGGTCATGCCCCTCGCCCCTTCCCCCCCCTGTCATATATTGACCCAGTTTTCCCCTGTCAGTGATGCATGTCGAAGGTACTGACTTGTAAAAAGTGTCTAGTTGTTCTGATTGGACAATAAACCCAGGTCCTGTGTACTACAGGCTGTACATGTTAAAGATCCCTTGACAGTTGGAAATAGAAAAAGAGTAGGCTAATGTAGCTGTCCTGGTAAAATTTCCCTAATTGTACACTGCATGGCGTTGACTTTATTAATGTTTAGTTGTTCAGATGGGACAATTAATCGAGGCCCTGTGTGCTACAGACTGTACACGTTAAAGATCCCTTGACAATTGGAAATAGAAAATGCATCTAGTCGTTCAGAT